GCAGTATTTCTGCCGTATCAAAATGAACCATTTTCAGACATTTCCACTAAAATAAAAGTACCCACTGAACTTCTCGCTCTTTCTTATTCGTTATGTGGGTAAAAGGCCCGGCTATTACTGAAACTTTTACAGTATCAGTTACTACCGCATCTCTTTGTAGTGCCAGAGCTAAAGATCACTGCCTTTGCTTCCTTCTCTCTCTTTCTCTCCTCCTCTGTGTGGCTGACTGACAGAAGGGCAGCATAAGCTGAACCGCACACTCCAGCTACAGTCAGCTACAGCAGGAGAGAGAGAGAGGGAGAGCATGAGGCATGAGGTATGCAGCATTAGATACAGCATCACTGACAGGAGCATGTTTGGGCATCAGATAAAGCTATTTTAGGACGAAACTGTCAATGCATCTCAAAAGACGTGCCAACAGAAATGATCAGAGAAGACCTACATTACGCTGCAGCCTGTCTGGGATGTCAGATGGGATTGGTTTTGCAGTTTTTGAAGAGGTGCAGTGTGAGCAGTCCACACGCCTAAGTCATTTACACAGAATAAAAAAGGGAGACGTCGGTGAGGGAGAGACGCTGGATGCAGACATACATGTAACTCAGCATCTGTTCAAAGGAAGTTTGTACTCCACTCTTTCACATTAAATGCTGAAACTTAAACATTGCAGCTATTGCCACTGAAACTGTTCAGTTCTGCAAACCTCTGTGTAAATAAGCCCCAATCCAGCTGTGGGCTGAGCTGAAGTGGGAGAAGAGGAGAGCTTATTGGAGCAGCTATGGCAGACTCAATAACATAAATAGTAAGAGAGAACCCAGTCGGTCCTGCCATTTAATCAACATTGGCTCTGCTTTTGGAAGATGGCTCTGCTATCTTTTATGGTGCACGAAGATTTACTGTCTCATAATTTCTCTCATAGCGAGGGATCTGTGCTCCTGCCTTTAAACGTTCGCTGGTACAAAGTCTGAATTAAACCTCGACAACCACTTCCCTAAAAAGACTTTAACTTGTCATTTATTTAATTGCCTGCATTACAGTCAGAAATGGGCACATCATGTGGATTCCACATATTCGTTGTAGCCAGAAATACCAAGAAGTGTGTAAAATTCAGCACATCGCTGCGACTGGCACCGGTAGCCTGGACATCAGTAACCTAGCTGAACAATGTAGCTGGAACACCTGCTCTGTCTTTGTTTTGCTTTATAGCACTAAGTGTCAAACAGACCCAGAACAAATGAATACAGTAAATGCTTATACAGTAATGTGGTGGTATGTTAGTGAATGCCTGCCTGGATTCTAGCTTTCACATATACGTCAGAGACATCTTGTCGTGGCAGATTAAACCCCTGACAAGTGTGATAAGTGTTGCCCTCTGAAACTAACTGTGCCACCCAGCAGATAGCAGCATAAAGGAAATATAGTGTGGGATCATCGTTTGCATCTGCTCCCATTCTTCTCCGAAAATGTAACTACTTATCAGATACTCTTGCTGTCAGTTTGCTGCTGTCTGTTTTTATTGCACAAAAAAATCTCTGTAAAAAACAACATCATCAGCTAGTATCAGCAAAACTCATAAGCCTGGTGCAACCCACAGCTTTATTAGCTATGCTATTGAAAACCTAAAGCCCAAAGCCCTTTTGGATCCCATCATGCTGACAGACAGGGGTAAGGGTGTGTATAAAAGTGTTTGGCTGTGATTGGCTGCCTTCCTTTAGACTTGCTTTTGGATTGGTGTCCGCAGACACACCCCTTGCTAACCCACTTGTCAGCTGCCATTTCTCCTGTCTTCAGTGAAACTTTGCAAGCACCTTTGCTTGCACATCTCCAGCCTCACTGCTGGCTGTGAGTCCTGCTCCGTCGTAACTCATTTGCAGGCGACACTGACATTACTGCATTCACCCAGTGAAAAACATCACCACAGCCAGCAAGCTACAACTAAGGAGAACTTTTGGCCAGTGAGCAGCAGTTTCCTTGAAGGTTTCTATGTTTGAGCGCATACAAGCAGACATGTGAAACCCATCTGACTCCACGCTGCAGGTTGGTGCTGTTAGAGCCACAAGTGTTTCGATAGTCTGACTTTTATTTTGTAAAGTTGTCTCTGTACATCGCCACAGTTGTCTTTAAATTAAACAATCCACATATGCCTCAAGAGTAGCTTTCACTTTTAACACTTTTAAGCTTGAACCATGAAGTAATTCAGATAATTCAAAATTCTTGTAAATAGAGTGTTTATTGAACTATCTGACAAGTTTAAATTAAATATAAATGCATATATATGAGTTTTGATTTGTATCATATTTGCTACATCTGACTTTGTTAAAAATCTGGTGCTTAAAAATGTACTGTGTACTTTATTGTGTTTTTTCAAAGGGGGAAAAAATCACACTGGTGATGCAGAGGTCTCAAAAACTCACAAAACTCACTCTCACTAGCTTCAAAGTACTTTGAGAAACCACTGAACCGTCAGTGAATTTCTTCTTTATAAAAACATATCAAATGGTTGATTTGGCCACTCTGCAAGTGTTTGCTAACTCTCTGATGCATTTTTTTTGTGTTTTTTTCAGCCTAATGATGGCCTCCTTCGCTTACATTTGGTGACTTAAACTGCAAATCCACCAGGCCATGAAACTGTGTGTTAGTCAGCTGTTCAGTTACGTTCAACCTCTGTATAAAGATAACTGTAATTCCTAAACTGTTATTGCAATACTTTTGTTAAACCCTCTGAATTAAATCAGAAAGCTCGACTTGATGTAAAATCCACTGTGGTGGCGTACAGGGGTGTATGATCTGAACTGTGTAATATTTTGTCTGTTTTAAATCAGGTCCTAAATCAACTTCACCGCAGCAGATTTTATAAAGCTTTAAGGCTACTGCACTGTCAAGAAAAAATATACGTGTTTCTTTAACCTCTCGTTAACCTCTCATATATTCCACTCGTGTGTCAATCTCATCCAGTCCTGGAAAAGAAACAAAATTGATGAGGGACGTAACGGAAACAGTGGACATTCAGAGACTACGAGTTGCTACGGTGAATCTATAGTGTCGCCACACACTCTGGAGAGTCTAATTAGGTTGGGGTTCTTCATGTAATTTAGGCTCTTATTGTGTGTGTAGTTGTCGTGTGAGCCTCTGCGTGCGCGCACTTATGCTACTCATGTTGAGAGAACGTAGATCTGTTTGGACAGTCACACTCCGGAGACTCAACTTTCTTATACATGGACACAAACGCAGGCCTCACTTATGTCGTGAGGACTAAATCAGCCCTAGATGAATCGCCATCATGTGGAGCAACATACTTTAGGTTGAAGGTGAGGTTAGGTGGAGGTTTAGGGCAAATATAGTTGTCGTGGTTAACAACAGAGAATAGGTCAGTGTAATGTCCTCTGGAGACATGGAGACACATCAGCGCGTGCGAGAATGTGCGCACACATGAGAGGTGAATCAGCTCATAAGTGGGTATCTCCTCTCCTGAGCTTATCCCTGCCTGGAAAATGTGTTCAGACTGATTGCAACAGCACTGTCATTAATAAATGACTGGATAATTTTAGCATGTCATGGAGGTAAAAATAGAACCTCCATGCACCCTTTGTTGAGACATCTGAGCTAACTCCTGTTAGGCTGCAACACTACAGATACACAGACACACAAGCCTGGAAAATAAATGTCACATTTTAAGATTACATGTTTCTAAAGGTTTTTTTGTTTGTTTTTTTAAAACCCTCATTTTTTAAAAAGGAGACCCTTAAAAGGTTTTACGCTGGTGCTCATTTGAGAGAAATGCGTGGCTCTCACTGAAGATCTTATTCTCTATTTTAGAGGCTGAATTACTACTTCCTGTCTTTGTAGTTCTTCGCTTCATGGCTGCCAGATGCTTTAACAATAACTGAGGCTATTGTAGTTACAGCTTCTCAAAGGCAGCGAAGCATGTCAGTGCTGAAAACAAAGGTGCAGTGGCTCACAAAGAACATTCAGCCAAAAAAAAGAAACTCATTATTGTGTTTTTAAGCGTTATGTTCAAAGTAGATTGAATATACATTACAACATTCATAAGTCACACCATGTGAGGTCATAACTGAGCTGAAGCTGATTTCCAGAGCTCTGCTGTAGAGGGGGGAAAGGCTTTTCCATTATCTTAAAGAAATAAACAGCAATAATAAAATAAAGAGAGACAAAAAGTGCAGACTATCAAACTTGTGGCCCTCTCTGGTTAAACTCCCCAGAACAAAGGGCCACCGCAGCCTCTGTTGTTTGTAGAGACAAGAACAAACCACGATTTTTTTTTTAAATGTTAAAAACTGGCAGCAAGTTTTAGAGATTTTAAACTGCCATCACCGCCCACGTACTGTCACTGCAGTCCACACAGACACTGTGGAGACTTTCGCCACAATTTCTGAAGGAGAAAAAAAAGGCGTCAGATGTGACAGATCTAACACTGGCTGAAGGCTCCGATGCAAAGTTTGGAAAGGAGGTTAGTTCAAGACGAGGCTGCTGTCCCCGAATCCCATCACATTCTGGGCCTAACTTTCTGCCTCACTCACACAGGAGCGACACGACAAGAAGAGCCGCTGGCTTTTCCGCCGGTGCGTTTCACCTTAACGCAGCACATGTAGGCTACCGTGAGGATGACACGATGCAGGTCCTGGGCTTCATGCTGCCGTTTGGGTCATAACCGGTGGAGAGGGAGGAGGGTGGTGGTGGTTACTTAGGTTTAACTAACCATCTCTCATTTTTTATTTTTTATTTTTTGGACACACAGACAGATTACGCGACACACACACATTCCCCTGACATGCCTCTCATATATTATGGGTGACCGGGTTATGGAAAACTGAGGTGTCAATCGCTCATATGTGTGTGTGTACGCTGACACACTGTATGGACTGGGAACGTGCATGCGCAGCCAGAGTGCTGGATGTCTCCCTTACATCACCATGGCAGTTTCAGTGGCCCTTATAGTGCGCTGTGAGTGGATGGCAGGTATGAGGGAAAAGCCTTAAACTTACCGCAGTCCTCGCACAACACTCTCTCAACATCCTTCTTCGACTCCGGCTCGCTGGCGTCCACGGGGGCGTACGATGCCTTGAATACCAAGGGCTCGGCGGTGGGGTCCATGAAAAAGATATATCTGTGGTCCTTCTCCACCGTGGTGCACGGGGCCTCGGAACCGAAGTCCCCGACGGTCACGAGCTGCTCCCTCTCGAGGCCGCCGCTGTTGACGGGCCACACATCCAGCACCTTGACATTCACGCTGTAGGGCTCCCGGGAGGAGACGTTCTCCGGGGAGGAGCGCACCTCGCCCTCGATGACCACGGCTGATCTGTACGCCTGGTCCTGGAGGGAGTTGAGACTCGGGGCGTAACAGGCGAAGGAGACCCCGATGACCAGCATGGAGAAATGCACTGGATCAAGCCTCATGCCGTCAGCCTGTGCTGTGCTGCAGTGCTGCTGGGCGGCGGAGCGAGCTGGAAGAGAGAGACGGCGGCGAACGGGCTCCGGCAGAGCAGGCAGGGCAGAGCGGCAGACCTTGTGGAAGTGTCCATGCCATCTGTGTCTGCCGCTGCTTTCCCCATACGGCTGCTGGCGTCGGATGGGGGGGACACAGCAGCCTAGGAACCGGAAACGGCCCGCTTCTGCATGCTTAAAAATGTGATTGCTGCATTCTCCTTCACCAACCACCCTCCCCCCTCTTATCTCCCCTTTTCCTGAAAGGCAAAACAAGACTCGTAAATTAGTCTCCTCTCGAATCCAGGGCTGAAACCTCTCTTTCTCTCTCTCGCTCTCTCTCTCTCTCTCTCTCCAGCTAATAGGCTAGCATCGCATGGGTGGGCGCATTGCCTCTTTGGAAAGAAAAAAAAAGCGACTTGCGCGTACAGGGGAATCACAAGAAATGATATGCTGTGCTCCACGCACACGCAGTATCGGCTCCTTTATCCACTTATATATCGTCAAGAGTCCCAGTGTTGCAAATCCGTTAGTCAGGAAGCAAAAAAATTCAAATTAAAAAAAGGGGGGAAATCAACAAACCCCCTACCGCGGAGAGGTCCAACGGACAGGATGAGAGAGCAGCGGTTATCCGGTGAGGCGTTGCAACAGTAGCGCGCACCCTCCAGCCGCGTCCCCTGCGCCCCTCATCAAACGCGAGCGGCTTACGTGAGCAAACATCACCTGCCCGGTCAACGGCGTCGCCTCGCCTCGCCACGTCCTGCGCAAACACCCTAATGACCCGGGCACCCACCGGCCCACCGGCACGGACCCAACCGGCGTGTGAGCATGCCGGCAGACTCTGTTTGAAAAAAAAAAACAAAACCCAAAAAACAAAACCTCTGCGGGGTGGGTGCAGGAGAAATCACGCACGCGGTGCACAGGCACACCACATCAGCAGCGCGGAGTTGCGTCTGTAGCCAAGCCCTGCACGGCGCCTACTGTGGATCTCCGGTGCAAGAGGTGCAAGAGAGGCTATAGGCGACTGCTACACACACACACACACTGCGGATAGCTGTTGCGATGACTAACGCTGCGAAATTCTCTCAATGGATTCCACGGCATGTAGAGGCGAGCGGGCGCTTCGGAGCTGAGCTCTCTGAGCTGTTAGATGGCCCCTCTGGAAAATATATCTGCTTCTGCAAAGCACGCCCGAATCCCGCTTTTATGTTCAGCGCTGTTTTTGCGAGTCATTACACTTCACAAATGTCGCCTTGCAGTTTTGCCGACTCCTGTGGCAACACGTGGTAGCAACAGTTACCAGAAAATGCGGGTGTTATAATAGAAAGACACAAATATTTTCGCCAATCTGGCTTAGATACAGTGAATAAAGCCTCATTTTCCACTGAATACGCATCCACCAATGAAATGAGACCCCTTTACAAAGTGCTGAGGTTTTTTGGGGTTTTTTTTTATGTTGACCATAAGTATCCCCTCCCAGTCTCTGCCTCCATCAGCCAAGCCATTCATAAGATTTGCCTTTCCCTCCCTGTCAGGAGCTGTGCGACCTTCGTTAGAGGTCAGAAAGACTTTTTGTAGTCCATACAGAGGAAATCAGAAACTATAATGTCACATAGGGGACACTTGGACAGTTTTCATATCTCCATATATATATATATATATATATATATATATATATATATATATATATATATATATATATATATATATATATATATATATATATAGAGAGAGAGAGAGAGAGAGAGAGAGAGAGAGAGATAAAGAAAATGTATATAGCCATTTCATCTGAGCATGGCCTCATCTTCCCCTCATCACCAGGGTCAGGGGCCTGCCTCTGTCCATGGTGCTGGACAGCTTTATTTCTCTGTCCAAGCAGGAAAACCACATCCCTGTTCATACATTATTTTCACATGGAGCCAGGAGTGAAGCCGGAGTGCCACTGATCTCTGTGGTTTTAGATGTGCTCAGTCGAATGTTTAGATTGCTCCACATTTTTGCAGTTGTTTCACCCAGCTCACAGAACTGGATCAGCCAATCTCTGATCTATCCTATGACCCTGCCCCACATCATCCCTCCCCACCTACAACCCACATACACAAGGATCAGTCTCTCCTTGATCTAGTCAACTTGGAAGCCCTCGTTCAGAAAGCTCGCATGCAATTTTGGGAATTGTTCTAAATTAGCCTTGAAAACAAATCATTTGTTGACCAAGCAAAGTGGAGTGAAAATGATTCCTGCTGTTCACTGGCCAGGGGCAGCCACCACCAACTGCCTTCACAACCTCCCTGAACTCGAGCAAAGGGGGGCACGTTTGTCGCTACATCAGCACTTCAGCAGGGTGCTGATGAGGTCGCTTGAACTTCCCTGTCATGATACACTAATCGTAACAACCCAGCAGTCATTTTGGTAAATGGTAAATGATCTGGTTCTTATATATAACACTCTTCTACTCTACCTGATCACTCAAAGCACTTTTTTTTTTACAGTTCTTGTAGGGAATATGCTTTTCTGTACTTGACACACATTTCTTTGTAGCTGCCCTAGCCACCCTTTATTTTATGTGAGATTACATCAGTGTCACTCTGCAAAGACAAAGCATAAACCTCCTGTTTTATTCATTTAAGTGCAAGTTTAGAAAAAAAAACAATTAAACGGTTGCGAATAAAACACAAGAGGTGGTCTTTTTTCATACTTGGTCTACTGATATAAATTATATATTCCAGAGATTATTAGGTCAAACCCCATCAAGTCTCTCCATCTTGTCCTTCTTCAGGTCTGCTACACGGGCACTTGTTGTGTTTACTGCTATTATGACATTTAATAGCATTGATATGATGACATTGCTTTTACTTAACATATGGAAGATGCTCAGACATGAAGATGTGACATGCCTTTGATACAAGCAATAGTCATATCATTTCTTCCATTGCTTTACTGCGTAACTTTTAACAATGCTGTAACTCAGTTACTTCATATAGTTTTTATAATTACCATTATATGACACTTTTCTATGAACACAATTATACTGGAGATCCCAGTGAAAAGCATGTAGTTCCACCGGTGAACTATTTACTGAATTCATGTTTCCCGTAGCTCCTAATTATTAGGGACAGGGATTGGAGGAGTTATGGATGCAGCGTGAGCATGTGGATTGCAGGTGGGATAAAACTAATTTAACAATAAAGGAAAGGTTGTTTTCACAAAGGTTATCATAGTCAACTAAAACTAAAATTCAAACTAGATGTGAAAAAACATTTTAGTCGACTAAAATTAAAAAAAAAGGCTCTTGAAAAATATTAAGACTGAAACAATTGTGTCAACTTTCAAAACTAAAAACCAATAAAAATGAGACTTTGTTGGTGTTTATTGAGACTCTGTTTGTGAGTCTGCTGCTTTCAAGTGTCTGTGTTTTTATTGTCACTTCTGCAATGACTTCCTAAATCCTGTCTCTGACATGTGCCCTCCACACAGCATATATTACAAAGACTACAATGAACACAGAAACTAAAAAAAACTACAATTGAACATTTTCAAACAATAAAAGCTAAACAGAACTTCACTCTTACTGAAACTAAACTGGCTTAAAAGAAAAAAAAAATCAAAATCAAAATGAAATCAAAACTAGTTAGACAATACAAAACTGTAATGACTCTGGTTTTCACACATTATGGCTCATTCTATTCCACTAATTTGATACCTAGAATTTTGCAGTGGTGATTGTCTCGTGGACCCCAAACAGTAGTGCTTGTGTTTGTGGGGGTCACCGGGCTATTTATTTTGCCCATATAAAGCGCTAAGTGTCAGGCCTTGAAGTGAATTCCAAGAAAATCAGAATCTTAAAGGCTCCCACTGATAGAGGAGAAAATCATTATCAGAAGTGCTGCCAAACACTCGTGTCACCATGTGTGCCAATAAATGTATAGCAACAGGTTTTTCTTCCCTTTAACTTTTTTTTTAAGCCCTTCAATGTCATTTCCCATTGAGAGAAACAGAGACACACCAGCGTGTCCAGTCACAGGCTAATGATTCACGGTGCTTCGCAGTGCATCAAAATCCCACGCAGCCACCATCGACTGTTCATTCAGAAATTTCTTTTTCACCCCGCTCTCCCTTCCCCGCATCTCCTTCCGTGCGGGTTCGCTGTCCGTGGTGCTGAAACCCCCAAAACGACTGTCCATGGTGCCGAAACACCCGACCCAGTAACCACCAGGTAGGCTAAGCCTTTGTCTGCGCCCTGCTCTTAGCTGTGTTTGACACAGGTTTCAAACCCCGTGATCTTCATTTGCTTAGACCCGCTTATTTATGTAAACACATTTGTCTGTGAGCTCGGCTGCGGAGTTTTAGGCTTTCATTTGCAGTATGCGACTACTTTAACGGCTTAAAATGTAAATTCTGCGAAACGTTGCAAAAACCGCGCGGGGACCTTGAACGCAGCCCGCTCGGAGTACTACAGTAACACCACACTACAGTTACTTTCATTTTTTCACCCTCTTCTCCTCTCTCGTCTCGCGATAGAGCGGCGGAGCGGTTTGACGGGCAGTCGAGGTTGCAGCAGGCAGAGGGAGACGGTGGAAGGTAAAGCAGGGAGGCAGCATCATGGCGGACAGAGACAGTGGCAGTGACCACGGAGGGCCCACCGCAGGCCCCGGCTCGCTGCCTCCGGGCGCAATGGGCGCCATGTCCCGGCTGCAGCACGACACCGAGGAGCTCGCCTCGAAGCGCGTCGACATCCAGAACAAGCGCTTCTACCTTGACGTGAAGCAGAATGTTAAAGGCCGCTTCCTAAAGATAGCCGAGGTCGGGGCTGGGGGAAACAAGAGCCGCCTCACTCTCTCCATGTCTGTCGCCGTGGAGTTCCGCGACTATCTCGGGGACTTTATCGAACATTACGCCCAGCTGGGCCCGACCAACCCGGACATAGTGCAGGATGAGCCCCGGCGGGCGCTCAAGAGCGAATTCCTGGTGCGGGAGAATCGGAAATATTACATGGATCTGAAAGAGAACCAGAGGGGGCGGTTCCTGAGGATCCGACAGACCGTTAATCGGGGGCCCGGATTGGGAAGCGCGCAAGGCCAGACCATCGCTCTGCCGGCGCAGGGTCTCATCGAGTTCCGCGACGCTTTAGCCAAACTCATCGACGACTACGGCGTGGACGAGGAGCCGGCGGAGCTCCCGGAGGGCACCTCGCTCACTGTCGACAACAAGCGCTTCTTCTTTGACGTGGGCTCCAATAAGTACGGGGTGTTCATGCGGGTGAGTGAGGTGAAGCCCACGTACCGGAACTCCATTACGGTTCCCTGCAAAGTGTGGTCCAAATTCGGTAACACCTTCTGTAAATATGCGGAGGAGATGAGGAAGATCCAGGAGAGGAGTAGAGAGAAAAGGGCCTCGGAACTGCTACCTGAGGGCCCGCACGGCGGAGACGACGGCGACGATGACTGACGCGGATTTTAGGAGAGCTGACATGAAACAACCGAGACAACGTTGGACTCTGAAGAGAAAAAAAACAACCCAGACTTTTAACTGTAAAATAGAAAGAGAATCTACAAGGGAATCACCCCACACACACAACCTCCACAGACATGGCAGCACCTCTGCTGTCTCCTCGCTCATTTTACTGGATGTCACCCCACTTACCACCCATGTAACAGTAAGCCGCTGCTATCAAGGACTGAACTGTAAGATATGAACCGTTTCCTACTTGATTTAAGTGACAATGAACAGAGTGTTTATATCTCTATCGATGACAGATTTTGCACACATCAAAGCTATTTCACAAAAAAAAATGTTTAAGTGTTTTAAAAACTGGTAATAGACCTAAGATTTAATCAAAATAAAACCAGAGGTTTAGAGTATAAAGTCTTCATGGAGAAGGAATATTTGACATCAGCACAAAGAGGATATATTATGGACTTTATGAAACCAAAATCCGAATCCAGATGTATAGTTTATTATAAAGGTACGCAGAATAAATATGGCAATGCTCAATGAGTTGCAGAAGGCAGCACTGCAGGCCTTGTAAACACCTGTCAGCATGCGTGTAGGCACATGTTTTGAAAAGAAGTTGGCAAAGTAGGCTGTAGTCTCTAATTTGGCCTAAACGTAGTCGGCTAATGGAAGCATTTCTCTCATGCCATTATGGAAAAGGTTGAGACACAAACCTAAATAGCCTATGTGCGCCTCAAACAAATGGGTTAAACCTATCTCTGAGCTACTCTATTGAATATCAACCCTCTTGCACCATGTCCACATAAACTTAAATGAAAAAAGTGCTAAC